CTCTGTTTCACCTTATGATGTACCGCAGGAAAGGCTGCGCTAGCTCCTTGCTCTGGGGCACATCCCGGTGGCACAAGCTCTCGTGACTTAAGAGCAGCTGCCAACGCTATGAGCTCGCGCATCTAGCCTTCGCTGCGGTACAATATAAGGTGAAATGAAGTGTAGTTGTTCCGCGCCGGCGCGGAGGTGTGAGGTCCCTCCTCGGCGGCCACGGTGTCGGGGGCGTAGCTTGCTCGCCTTTTTCGCGGTGTGGTGGTGGTGTGCGGTCAGTGACTGGCCTCATGTTTTGCTTTGGTGCTGTGTCAATCACCGGTGCCACCATCGTGCACGAAGGTGAGTCTTAACCCGAAGAAGAAGTTATGCTATAAGGATGGGAAAGACGTGCTTCGTCCCCAACTGCAATTCGGGGTACTGGAACTGCGCAGAGCGAGTGTCCTTGTTTAAAGCTCCATCGAATGACGCTCGCCTGGAGCAGTGGCGTCGTGCAATCCCGAGGGCCGATCGCAAATTGCTACCTAGTCTCCTCATCTCGTTGAACAAGTGAAGACCAAGCTTGACCGTCTAATTTCTGTCGAAGACTGGGAATGCGAAGATGTCTGGACAGAAAAGGCTCAAGAAACCAAGGCTGTGGACTGCATGCTATATTATGTAACTGGGTTTTTGATTGTGAAAATAAAAAAAAACAAGCTACACGCTGCCCTGCATGCCGATCCGCTGTCAGCATCGACAAGAACACTTCTACTGAAGCAGCACTGACAAACGTGAAGAACAGAGGAGGCCTTATACACCCCAACAAGAACCTTTTCCAGCTACTGGAGAAAGCGGAAAAGCTCTTCGTAGAAAATAAAAGCCACCAGACTGTCTACTGGGACACAATTGACAGTGTTCTTGACAGATGCACAATAACGTTTTCATGCGCTGAATACAAAGAAGAAACAACTGCCCAGTTGCTCCACTACTACTTCAGCATGTGAATGCAACAACACTGTAAGCATGTTACCATGAGTAGGAACAAACAAGCTCAAGAAAAGAAGAAATCGGCAAGCAGCGCTCGTCTTAGTTTAAGAGTATGGGCGAGAAACACAGGAGGCAGGAGATGGCGTTCTTTGGTAGTATGCAGTGAAATCAGCTTTTCGGTACATTTTAAAGCAAAAATATTTGTCAGGTATTTTTTTTACCTGTAAGACGGGGTGCCACCATATTGTGAGAGTATAGATGAAAAGTGATTTATGTTCTATAACCGCTACTATTGTTTGACTTGCAGTCACTGTGTCATCATGTCAGTCAGTACAGTCTAAGCTCGTTATAACAGACCTTGATTTTTACCGACATTTCGGTCTGTTGTAAAAGGAGTTTGTTGTATGCAGATCTGAAGTTGAGTCAAAGGTACATAGAGGAAAAGCACCCAAACTTCACAAATTGGTATGTTATATCCAAATGTCTGTTGTAACCAGGTCTGTTGTAATGAGCTTAGACTGTATGTCATCATACTGTGTCATCGTTTCAGTCACTGTGTCATCATATATAGGAATTGTTTCTGCTCACCAGGTTTGTATGTTCCCAGTACAAGTGTACATTGTATGTATAAACCATTTTTGCCCTGCTATGTAACATTATTAGAATTTTTTTTTTCAATAAGGCAGGAAATAAGGCAGGAGCAGGGTGGAAAAAATCACCCGACCTCATATAAAGCCACGCAATGTGTGTAAACAATTTACGGAATTTACGGAACGGCATGCTGATTGACAAAACATGCGAGCACGACCCAGGTGTTTACTCTAAATTATTCAAGGCCCAGTCGATTACGCCTGAAAGTTTTATATCTATACGAGTATTTTGTCACGTTGAGTCATCATCGGAATGTTCTCGTTTAAAAAAAAGAAAAAGAAAGAAAAAAAGAAACAGGAACTGTACGGGGGAAAAGGCAATTTGTGCCAGTGCGCCAACATAAATCCATCATTTCACAACACAGTACACAGGGACCAAGTAAGGAATGCATAATTTCCTTCACAAGCCCTCTATACAAGCCTTCACAAGCCCCTTTATACGTGGGCTCCATCTATCCCCGTGCAAGTGAAGTGCTCTGTGCGCCGAACACAATATGGTCGCCGCGCAAGACAGAGAGTCATCACCTAAATGTATTTCTTCCACCGTGGTTCAACTTAGAAAGCCACCAAGCCAATTTCCTTTTGCCGCCCAGCGGAGAGGCCAAGTCAAGCCAAGCCAAGCCAAGCCGCTCTCGTAATGGTTGCAAGCGCAGAGTCGCAGAAGCGATCGACTGCGAAAGCGGATGCATTGATGTCCACAAATGTGCCGTCGTCTGCGGTCTGCTTTCGGACAGTAGAATCGAAAAGCGGTTAGGCCTACGAATGGCCACGTCGCCCTCTACACCGAGCGAGCTTCGTGGGGCGCTTTTCCTTTGGCATAAGGCACACTCTAAAAATGGTTAGGCCTAAGAACGGCTGAAAGCACCCTAAAAAAGATTTGCAATTTACAGAGCATAGTTACAATGGCCACCCCCAACTTTTTCATACCTTTTAAGAAGTTCAACAATAGTATAGTGGTTAGGATTGCCGTGCAGTTTGCTTAGTTCGGTGCTGTTTTATAATGTCAAGCGTAACCCTAAAAAAGGCCCCTAAAGCTGTTTGGGAAAGACCATAAAACTCCGATTGATTGGTTGATAGAGCACGGTTACTACGGCTTGCCCACGACCGGCTCTCATCACCCTGACATGTCATAAAAACTCTGATTGATTGATTGATTGATAGAGCACAGTTACTGTGGCGTGCCCACGACCAGCCCTCATCACCCTGATATGCCATAAAAACTCTTTAATTGATTGATTGAGCACGGTTACTGTGGCATGCCCATGACAAGCCCTGGGTGTGCGTCCGTCAGCGGGGACGTTTGCAGAAAGTGTGTAAACGCGAACATTTTACCCCTCGTAATGAACGCATCCCCCAAATACGTGTCAATTTTTCGGGAAAAAAAGTGCATTCATTACGCAAGTAAATACGGTACAGTAAATTTCATTTATGTTAAACAAAAGCCTCTAAAGTTGACCCTTTTGGGTACCCTAGTAGTACACTTTGTCCTGTGAACGTCTTTAGAATGTCTTTATGTCCTAGGGATGTCCTGTGGACATTCAGCACATTGGTCACAGGTGTCTAAACCATGACCAAAACATTGTGACAGACATATGACATGTAAAACATGTCTACAATGCCAAAACATTGTGAACATGACCATGACAGGTGTCTAAACCATGACCAATGACATGCAAACATGTTCACAATGAAAAACATTGTGAACGTGACCGTGACAGGTGTCTAAACCATGACCAAAGCATTGTGACCATGACCAATGACATGCAAACATGTTCACAATGATGAAACATTGTGAACATGACCCCGACAGGTATCTAAACCTGACCAATGACATGCAAACATGTTCACAATGACAAAACACTGTGAACATGACCATGGCAGGTGTCTAAACCATGACCAAAGCATTGTGACCATGACCAATGATATGCAAACATGTTCAAAATGATGAAACATTGTGAACATGACCACGTCAGGTATCTAAACCATGACCAATGATGACATGCAAACATGTTCGCAATGACAAAACACTGAACGTGACCACGACAGGTGTCTAAACCATGACCAAAACATTGTGAACATGACCATGAAAGGTGTCTAAACCATGACCAGAACATTGTGACCATGACCAATGACATGTAAAACATGTTCACAATGACAAAACACTGTGAACATGACCATGACAGGTGTCTCAACCATGACCAAAACATTGTGACCATGACCAATGACATGGAAACATGTTCCCAATGACAAAACATTAGGAACATGACCATGACAGGTGTCTAAACCATGACCAAAAAAAACTGTGACCATGACCAATGACATGCAAAACATGCTCCCAGTGACAAAACATTGTGAACATGAACATGACAGGTGTCTAAACCATGACCGAAACTGTGACCACTAAACCTTATGGTGGTCGCGCTTATTTTCGAGTTTTGGAAGGACCAAACATGGGCAACGTTGACTATTGGGACGTCCTGTCAACAAACATAATTGATTAAGGTGAAAAACCGAATGTTTTATCAAAGGTCTGCACTACTTTAAAGAATGTTTCTAATCCTTTTCGCAAAGTAACCGCATTACTAGTAACTGCAACAAGTTATAGCCTTCTGATTTCGTAACTAACGCAGTTAGGACCCTGCCACAAGTAACTGTAAACTTTTTAGCATAACGTGCCCATGACTCCAGCTGACACTTGTCACTCAAAATGTTTTGTAAAGTAATGGCATTACTAGTAACTGCAATGAGTTAGCCTTTCGATTTTGTACTAACGCAGTTGGGATCTTGCCACGAGTAACTGTAAGCTTTTTAGCAGTAACGTGCCCATGACTCCAGCTGACACATGTCACTCAAAATTTTTTGTAAAGTTAGTTAACCTTTTGTAAAGTTAGCCTTTCAATTTTGTAACTAAAAGAGGATCTTGCCACGAGTGACTGTCAACTTTTTGGCGGTAATGCGTCCACCACTGGTTCTTTTTTTTTTCTTTCTTCATTTCCAATACCACCAACTCCATTTGGGGTTGTTGTAGGGTGGTACAGTTTGAAATATTACGAGCAAAGACAATATTCAATGCACGATTTGCGGGTCAGTATTCGATGCAAATAGAGAAGTCCAGCATGATAGATTAGTAAATAACTTCAATGCAATAGATACATCGCACTTTTAAAAACAGCATAAAAATATTAGTTTACGATGAAATGCGGGTATCTACGTAATCGAGAAAGATTTTAATAAAGAGGAATGAACAATGTTTTGAGGCAGGTGGTTCTCTCCGTTAATGGTTCAGGGAAAAAAAAAGGTTCTCGGACCAGAGCTTCTTGTGCCAGCCGACACTTGTCACTCCAAAGTGCTCTGGGAAGTGTGAGTGCAAACTCTGGAAAGTACAAGGCCTACCCGCAGTTGTGCTTGCCAGGAACTGGTCCAGGGCTTCCTGCTCTTCTTCGCTGCCTTCCAGGTCAATGTCTTCCAGGTCCACGCGCTGCTGCTCCGGGCACGCCTCGATCCCTGGGGGACACCCGCAGACAAGTTACTCAAAAAAAGTCATTCAGTTAAGGGGGGACGCGGGTCTTAAAATATAAAAAAATTGCGAAAAATGCTTTTTCTCAAAGTCCACGATTTTGAGGTCTATATAGTCCAGAGTATGTCCTCACAAAATATAAATGCTTAATTCGATCTCTAGATATTAAACTAATGACAATTTGTAAGCGTTGACAGACCTGAATTCAAGCCTAAACTCTAAAAATTTGAACAAACTTTCAAGCCGTCGGAGCACCGCAACGGCTCAACTGATCGGAGCCATCTTGGTCTTGTTCGAAAGGTGGTTTCCCGTGCTTATTTTTTCCGCGCTCCAAAGCGGTGTACCCCACAAGGCCGCAACGTCATTGATGCTGTACAGAAGGCCGTCACCAGCACTAAAAAAGAAGCTGATTGGGCAAAGCGCACTTCTCCGAGGCGCAGCTCCCTCATTGGCCGAAACGCGCGCCTCCTCTCCTGGCTTCCCCGGCGCGTCGTTCCGGTAGCTCCGCGGGCTCCCACGTCGTCTGCTTTCGCTCGCTTTGCCATTCAAGACGCACACTGCATTCGCATTTCTCCACTTTCTATATCAATATTTTCAGTGTTTTTCTTGTGCTTCCTAGTGTTTTTGTTTGTTCCCTGTCATCTTCGCATCGTTCATGTAATTATTTGATACCTCCACTATGTTTAGCTTTCCCTTTTCGTATATATTCGCCCTCCTGCGTCGTCGTTCTTTGTTTCGTTCTGCGCGCTTCGAGTTCTGACAGCTGGGGACGCCCGTTTGAAGGCAACACGCAGAGACTAAACACAAAGAGGAGACGTGCCTGGAACAAGAAGACCTCCGCATCAAGGAAAACGACACCATCGACTTTGCCGATGCCACAAGCCGCTCTACCGCTGGTGGACGCGACTGGATCAAGTTTGTGTTTGACAACTTTGCCGATGCCTCAAGCCGCTTTTCCACTCGTGGACGTGGCTGGACAAAGTTTGTCTAGAGATCGAATTGACACTGTGTTCTATACGGAGGAGTGTGTGGAGCGTGAACAATGTGCGGACGACAAAAAGGCTTCGTTGGCAGATCAGTTGGCGACTTCACGAAAGTTTGAGCTCCTCGACGTCTGCATGGAGAGCGACGGCACCGACCGCGGCACGGAGTACGTCATCGTGGACATGAAAGTGCTACAAAAACTCTTTGCGTCCACGGCATGCGGCAAGTGCGGAATGGCTACCGTAGGACTTTCAAAGTGCGAAGAGAGGCAGTACAACCTGGCAGTGAAGTTGGTTCTCACAAGTTCGAGCTGCGATTTCGCCGAGAGTCGATTTTCTTCCCCACGTGTCGCCGGGGAAGCCAAGATTACGCCCTTCGAGGTCAACTTGAGGGCAATGAAGGGAATACAGAGCATAGGAAAGGGGGCGACTGCACATGCAGACTTCTGTGCAACCTTAAACCTCTCCCACCAAAGGCTTCATCATAAGACGTTCAAAGGACACATGGACACCATGGTGCAGGCTTGCCAGGCAGCAGCAACAGCCACAGAAGCAGCGAGTGTTCAGGTGGTGAAGGACGTCTACGAGAGCTTCCTCAATTCTCCCGGAAACGTGGATATAATTTTTGACGGCACATGGAAGACACGCAGACACAACTCCAACATCGCAGTGGGGTGCATCCTCGAGCTTTACACTGGCCTTGTGCTAGACCACGCTGTCCTCTCAAGGTACTGTCGTGGCTGCCAGGGTGCACCTGACCCAAACGACGACAGCCATGGGGACTAAGTGATCAACCGCAAGTGTATGAAGAACATTGACTGCAACGCAGGACGAATGGAAGCCGAGGCAGCCCTCATTCTGTTCAGGCGGTCCCTGGTGAGGAATGGACTGCGCTACACCACCATCCTTTCCGATGGTGCCAGCCGCACCTTCATGCCCTGACACAAGACAGCGTCTATGGACACCTCGACATTGAGAAAAAAGACTGCCTGAACCATGTACACAAGCGGATGGGAGCAGCTCTTCATACCCTGGTGGAGAAGAAGAAGGCACAGGGAGAGTAGCTCAAAGGAAAGGGAAAGCTGACCCAGGACAAGATAAAAAAAATAACAAACTACTATGGGTACGCCTTGAGAAGCCACAAGCATGATGTGCCAGGGATGGAAAAGGCAATGCAAGCAACTTTGTTGCACATGACCTCGACAGATGAAGCCCTGGACCACAGCCACTGTCCCGAGGGGGACAGTTCCTGGTGCTCCTACAACCGGGCTCTGGCCAACCACGAGGAGCCACCACCACACAAGAACCCACTGCCAGGCTTCATTCGCACTGCGCTGGAGCCAGTCTTTGAGAGGCTGGGCGACCGGGCACTCCTGAAGCGCTGCAGTGATGGCATGACGCAGAGCGCCATAGAGTGCCTACACTCTGTGAACTGGGGCCAGAACTCTAAGAACACACATGACTCTTTACTGTCAGTGCAGAGGGCTGTCGCTGAAGCCATGTCACACTTCAACCAGGGAATGGCAAAGACGAGCAAGGCTGTAGCAGCACAGCTTGGCTACAGCACAGGTAGCTGCCTGATTCGCAGGAGTCTTGAGAAAGACAGGCGGAGGCTTCGCAAGGCCAACAAGGCTCACCCTGAGAGTGAAAAGGTCCAGAAGAGGATGGCCAAGAGACACAAGCCTGCCAGGGCCCAGGACTACAGCCGAAGACTGCTATGACCGTGTGTGCATATCGGAGACTACTTAACTAATTTCCCGTTTTCCCGTTTTTTTTTTGTTTTTGGTCAGGTGCCATTTTTCTACGGAGGTTTTGATTATGTTTCCATAAGCCGATTGCAATAAACTTGGTGTTGTTTTCAGTAACAACTGAACTGCACCCTAAAGCTTTCTTTTTTTCTCTAGACTTGATATATAAGAGTGCCAACATCGGAGAAACTTCAAGTGTGATTTTCTCAGCTTTGTCTTTTTTGTCCAGAGCCACTGCCTTACGGAAGTTTTCATAATGTTTGCATGGGCGGATTTCAGTAAGCTTGGTATCATTGTTTTCAGTAACAACTGAGGTGTATCCTAAAGCTTTTCTTTTTCATCTAGAATCTGTAGGCAAAAAGTAGTTAGCTGAAACATGGATTATTTAGTGACAAGTTTTTGCTTTGAAATTTCATGATTTATTTCTGGTAGACAAAATGGCTTTGTAAACATTCAATTAGCTTTAGGATATATGGTGAACCCTTGGAAATCACTGCATATTGTTAAAATATAAATTTTTTGATGTGAAATTACCATAACGACCCGTAAGAAATTACCTTACTGGAATTTTATATTTTGCCATATTTTTTATTCTAAAAGATATCTGAAATTCAATTGCAGATTTGAAATCACCATCCAATGATATATATGCATGCCAACCTTCCAGCAAGGTATCTCAATAAATAAAAAAAAACATATTTAAGTACCCTAGTCCCACCTTAAGGTACTGAATAGTGGCCTCAAAAGTAATTTGAGTAGAGTAGAAGTCACTCAAATGGAAAGTAATTTAGTAAATTACTAATTGCCATAAAAAAAGTAGCAAATTACTTTTGAAATTACTTTTATATTTTTTATGGTACCAAGAAAAAGAAAGTAAATAGGTTTTGGTAGCCAAGTATAAAGCGGCTTGTGTTTTCACAGAAATGCTTTAATAGTTGGTTCTGCTTCTGTGTGCCTAATTGTTTTGTACTTCTTTTTGGTTTTCGGTCAAAAATGCACTCTAGATGTATTATTTCTACTTTGATTTTTAGCACTGCTTGAGCTTGATCTTGAAGACAGTGTTTGCTTGTTTACAGTGTTACATCTAAAGAGTACTTGAAGTAAAGTACAAAGTCAATTAGAGGTTATGTATTTTAAGTAAAGTAGTAAGTATACCTGATGCAGATACTTGAAGTAAAGTTCTATAAATACAATATGTACTTTCAAAGGAAAGTTCAAGTACTTTTTAACAAAATCTTTCAAGATGACCTGTCATCCCCCATACAGTTTTTTTTAAACTGGAATGCATTGCTCCAGTAGTAATTGGAGGTGCATCAGGTTTTCATGGAAATGGCAGCAAATATTGGATGAAGTCAAGTCGCCAGAGTGGTTGTTTTACTTTCGCTGACAAGCTATTCAACACAACCAAATTAGAGTACACTTATTTGTATTGCCCTTACAGGTGCCATTACAGTAGACTCTCATGAATTCAAACTCCAGGAAGTGACAGATTTTCGTTTGAATTCTTAGAACTTTGAATGATCAGAAATTCATCTAAATATGATACTAGACAATATTATGATTTGTTACACGGATAACTACACATACAAAGCAGATTTTTGACAGTTTCCTCTACATAGGCCTAATTATAAGTAAGTACAGGCATAACACATTGGTGAAAGAACTGTGACGTTAAGTTTATCCATCTGGCAAAAAAATTGTCGTTTGTGGACTTTTAGTCAGCACATGAGATCTCAAAACAAAATTTGCAATGCCAGCCAACGCAAGTAGCTCTTTTCGGGACTCTTCCTTTGTGGACAGAAACTTCCGGAGCTGAGCGATGTGCTCAAAGGCCTCATTGACAGTCGGTAGTGGGTCATCCCTTCCTTCATCGTCATCTTCACTGTCACTGCTGCACTGTGCTGGCATTACTTCCTGCACTATGTTCTCTAATGAGTCATCACGACAAACACACACATAGCATATTCCGCCAGCTCGGCGTTCACATTATGTGCTTCAAGGCCAGGAAGCATGATGCCAATGAGCTGGTCCTCATCCTCGATGTCGTCTTGGTGTCATCATTGCTAGTCTTGAAGCACATAATGTGATCGCCGTTTTTCACTAACCTGTGCCTGCTTGAGCCCCGTTGAGTGCGCTTCTTTTCGAGCACCAGTGCACTGCGGAGAAGCCACACTCGCGAAAGCAAGCTCCGCAGGTTTTGCTTCTCTGCGGTGCACCGGTGCTCAGAAAGAAGCGCACTCAACGGGGCCGCAAGAA